TTGTGATCTCTGGTTAACTGGTTTACTACAGCTCAATGCATATTTACAGCTGCCAAATTTTTTAAGACTCCTAGTGGTGTTTGGACTTTGGATGCAATTGTTTTGAATAATATAATGCCATTTTTTGGCATTTTGACCAAAAATGTCATATTTGAGTTGTCAAAATGCTACTTGGGTGCTTGGTAAACCAGCATTTTAGATCAGTATTATGCTGAGCAAAATGCTAACTGATATGAACTCGTATCGGATATGGAAGAACTTCGAGCGTCTTCGAGCTCCAGAAAGGTTGAGACGAGAGCACAAGAGGGAATGAGACGAGAAGGGATTAGGGTTTGTGTTGTTTATTCATTGATTGTTCTAAAGGGGTTACATATGTATTTATAGGAGACAAGGAAACCCGAGCTAACCCTAATCAAAATAGAAAACCTAACCTGACGATTTAATAAAAGTGACAAGGGAAAGAACCGTAAAGAAACCTCAAAGGAGCTTATAATTTTGCTCACCTAATAAAACCTAAATTACAATAATAATAATAATAACAATAATAATAATAATACTAAATATCCTACTCTACTATCCATAACACTAACATAAATGTGCTGATAGAATGAGCATTTTGTGAAACCACATTTTAATTTCAGCATTCTCGTTTTATTTGCTAACATCAGAAGAAGAATTAAACAAAAAAAATTGCCATTTGGATTGAAGAATTTATGGAGGAAATCGGGTTTTAAGTTACTAGAAACCACACGATTATATAGCCTAAGGGAATAGGCCTTAGCAAGAGTTTACCACTGCTTATGGATGGTAAACTACATGCATAAGCAGATTGAAAGCTAAATAAGGGATGCTAGTCAAATATGCCTATACAAGCAATAATTTGCCATCTGCTAACTGTTGTTTGTTACCTGTTATCTTTACCAACGCACCCTTAATACTTTGCTAGTAAAACATGGTACTAATATTAGATGGTGAATACTATCATGCATAATTTGAGAAGTTGGGTATAAAACGTGACTAAAATACGATCAAAATAGAGTTGAGTTCTAAATTAGATACAAAAACATAGATACTCATAAAAATTAAACCTCAGGCATCCCATTTTACAAATAATGTGATCATATTATACAAATAATATTCCACATATTGGTATCTGCTTGTGTGTCATTTGAATATGCAATATAGTCAAAAATAGGTATTCGACGAAAACGACATCAACCCAATCTTAAGGTGGAAAATATTTCTATACCCCTACTCGAAAGTAAAGAAACTGTTTCTAAGAGAGTAAGAGACCCCAACTTGAAGAGCACAGAGCTTGAAATTCTTGTTATTCTTTTTCTTTTTGGGAAAATATCAAAATAAATTTTCATTCTCCTCTAACAAAGAATTGTGTGATTCAAAACAAATTTTTCATTTGATTCATACTACGAAGTATATCTCTCGTTTCATTTTCATCATAAATTTTAACCGCATGATTTAACTTTTTATGGAACTTGATTTTGGATAGGAGAAATCAAAAGAGAAAGCAAATACGGCTGTATGGCTAAGTGAGACGACAGATGGTACCTGCGCGGGCGCTGCCCGTCCCGACGTCGACACCGAGGAATACGGATCGCTGCCGCGAGGAAGCGGTGGTCATTTTCTGCTGCCGGAGCACACCTAATGCCTCCAATACCCAATACCTTGAGGAAAAGGGCACTAATGTGTACTTTCAAAAATTATTTTTAAAAGGGGTTCTATGCAAATAGGTAGGTCAGATCGGGTTCGAGTTTGGTCACTTCAAGTTTAGGTTATTTCGGGTTTGAGTTGAGAACTGTATGTTCACGATTCAGTGTCGTCGGGTTCGGGTCGATCCAATGAGTTATGAATTTGGTTTTTTAAATTTTTAAATTCACATTAACACTTATACTTTCTATTAAATAAATTTAAAATATCATAAGAAATGTATTAAATATACAAAATTATTTTATTTTAAACTCTGAAGTAATTTTTAGATATATAAATCACTATAAAGAATTTAAAAATGCTTAAATTTTGGAAAAAAATAAGATAATTATGCAATATCATTAAAATTTTGTCTGAAAATATAAATTTATACACTAAAAACGAGTAGTAAAGTGTATGATTTTGAAAAATTCTTACTTTAGCGGGTCGGTCAGGTCGGGGTCGGTCGGATTTGACTCATTTTTAGCGAGTTATTTTGGGTTCGGTCATCAAAACCTTTGTTCAAAACCCAGTGTTTTTAGGTCGGGTTTCGGGTCAAAAACAGGTCGGGTCATTTTCTGTCAGGTCTAGTTCCCGGGCAATGTCATATGATGACCCTGGGGCGCTTCAGTGCCTCGCTCGTAAAATTGACGGTTCCTATCCCCTAACCCCTCCAGTAAACCCCCTCACCCCCTTCAATTGCATCCCCCAAGTTAAGTTTGACTTTGGAGTCAAAATTTGACTCCAAAGTCAAAATTAACTTGGGGGTGCAATTGAAGGGGGTGAGGGGTATTCGGGTCGGGGCGGGTGAGAGTTTACCGGATGAGCTAAGGAGATAGGAATCGTCAATTTTACGAACGGGGCACTGGAGCGCCCCGGATCATCCCATGACATAAGGTTCCAATGTCATGTGAACCCCCACCGTTTTAATAGTGTGATTTCAAAACATTTCAAACACAATCTATATTGGAGTCTACGTTTGTTTAACAATGATATTGAACATTTTATAGTGGAGTCCAATGAGTAGTGCATTTGGCCAGGGTCAACAAAGTTGTTTTATGAAAATCTTTTGAATTTTGTAGACAGAGTTCAATGTAAAATATATTCAAATATTATGTTCATCTCTAGGAAAAACTTATTAGATAAGAGAAAAAATTTTGAAAATATCAAAATAAAAGTCATAAGTGTTTTAAGTTCAAAATAAGAGTTTACAGTGATATTGTAACACGGTCACATTCACCATATTGTCACAGTGTAACTGACACACCATCGCCGCTACACTGTGATCCGTGGTCGTCGCCACTAGAGTGCCGTCGCAGATCACCGATGATTAATTGATCACACTGATGTATTACACTGTTATCACATTTCCATCACACTGCCAATGTGTACATTTACACTATATTGTCATTATACTGCTAGTTTGGTATTAAAAGATTTAGGACTCTTACTTTGATATTTTCATAGTTTTTACTCTTATCCTGAAAGATTTCTTTTATCTCTAAATGTCCTTTGGAAAAATGCCTGATACATTCGCATGTTTGATCCCAAATATTTAAATGTTTCTCAATAGATTGCAATGGTTCACACATACTACAGAAATAACCATTTTTTAATTATAATAAACATTCGAATGTTTGAGTACTAATATTTGAGTTTTACCCAAAAAAGTTGTGTTGTTTATCAACCAACATGTCCATTCAAAAATTTGCCTATAAATATCAGGTCCAAGGTATATTTCGATTCATTGAAACTTTCATACTCATTTTGGATTACTTACGTTTTATCTGATTGAAGTATTTTGATATACATTAAAAAATTACCGCAAAATAATCTGAAAGTATTTATACGTGATTCGTTAAGTCTATCAAGTGTTCTTCACATACTTCGTATACCGATTCTCTAATGTTGCTTTGTAGCATTATTGTCTAGCCACTTGTTTTTTTAATATTTTTTAAAATAATCTTATCTATAAATTGGTATGGAAATAAAAAATACAAATTAATTACATAATTAAAAAGTACATAAAAAATTCTACAAAACAAGATGCGACAAGAATATTATATTTATCAAATGACTAATGAAAACATACGAGTAAACAAAAGTTATCGATCGAGAGTCTCAAATAGTAAAAGTGTAAATTATTTTGGAATGGATAAAGTATAAAATAGTTATGCCACTTTTTGTTTTGTAAAATTTTGTATTAATCTTTTTAACACGAGTATATAAATCTTATTTATGCCAAAAACATTATGGTCCAATAGCATGATGGTAATTCTCCCATGTATAAGGTTGCATGTTTGATCTCTATTGAAGGTAACAACTCTATGTACTTAATGAGTTGAGAATCTATATAATAAAGTTCTTAGCATTAAAAAATATAAATTTTAATTTTTAAATTCGAAATAAATTCAAATCAATTCTTATGCTAATTAGACGGGGGCCTTCTTGATTGGAGGGGATCGGACCAGTGTGGTTCCAATAAGCAATCCCCAGCTAGCTCCCAACAAATTAAAGCAACTCATTTCCCTTAGATATGCCATTATTATATTCCAGTATTATGTCTCTGGTTTTCGAATTATCCACTCCATTAATAACCTACTCCATGCATGCATATACTCCTTCCTCAATTTGATTACAAATTGAAGCTTAAGAGGAAAAATATCTCACTTTTTAAAATCATTTTATTCACAAATCGGTATATCGTTAAGAAATAAAAATTACACAGAGTACATATTAAAAAACTACGTCAAAAGTTTTACAAAACAAGATGTGACAAGACTATTTTATTTTATCAAATATTTAATAAAATCGCGTAAACAAACAAAAGTTATCGAGAGGAGAGAGGAAAAAATTATAATCTAATTGGGGACGAAGGGAGTATATTTGTGTGTGTGGTTCCCCCCTCTAGAGATGATCACAAGGTTGATTGGCGAATCACACCACCCGGGTTCGATCCCCAGAAGATGCAAATTTGGAGAAATTTTAAAGAGTTAAGCGTGCGGGCATGGGAGTAGCAAAATTGATGGGTGACCCCCTCAGAAATAGATTTGGGCTTATGGGGCTGGGCTTTAGATTGGGCTTTCTATAGTGGGCTATCTACCTCGGGTGTTAACGGGCCCTGGGGTAGTCACGAGGTTAACGAGCCTCGGCCCCCTGCTTGTAACCAACCGTTCATTATTTAAAAAAATTATATATATATATATATATATATATATATATATATATATATATATATATATATATACACGGTAAGTCTAAAATGACACCAGTGCTACTGGTGTCATTTGCTTACACCAGACAAGGTTAACGGGCCTTGGTGATGGACGTCCTAACTCAAGGTGTTCAAGACGGGGTCCCATGGTGCATGCTTTTCGCGGATGATATTATGCTTATCGACGACACACGTGAGGGACTAAACGATAAGTTAGAATTATGGCGCCTTGCCCTTGAGACTAAAGGATTTAGAAAAAGTAGAAACAAGACTGAATACATGGAGTGTCGTTTCAGTGGCCGGGATACAGAATCAGAGGTGGAAGTCAGGATTGACTCTCACCTAGTACCTAAGGTAGACAAGTTTCGATATCTTGGCTCGGTAATCCAGGCGGATGGGGAGTTAAATGCAGATGTTGGACATCGTGTTGGAGTGGCTTGGGCCAAATGGCGGTTAGCTTCAGGGGTGTTGTGTGATCCGAAGATTTTGCCTAGAATGAAAGGTAAGTTCTATCGATCCGTAATCAGACCTGCTATGTTATATGGGGCAGAGTGTTGGGCGGTTAAGAAGACTCAAGTGCGTCGTCTGCATGCGGCGGAGATGCGGATGTTACGATGGATGTGTGGGAAGACAAGGTTGGATAGGATTTCGAACGAAGTTATCCGACGTCAGGTAGGCATGGCACCGATGGAAGATAAGTTGCGGGAAGCGAGGTTGAGATGGTTTGGCCATGTAAGACGGCGGAATGCTGACGCCCCTGTACAGAGATGCGAGAGGGTTATAGTTATCGGGGGAAGTAGGGGAAGGGGTAGACCTAGGAAGAATTGGAAGGATGTGATTAAGCAGGATTTAGGACTTCTCGACCTGACTGAGGATATGATCCTAGATAGGAACCTTTGGAAAAGTAGAATTAGAGTAGCTGGATATGAGCTCGGTGTTGTAGAGGTTGTTTTGTAGTGTGTTGTATTTGTATGGAATCTTTTGTTATTGCTTGTACTTGTTGCTTGTACTTAGTGTTTTATTTGTGTTATACTGTGTCCCCTTCCATATTTTTGGGCAGGTGGAGTCGGGGGTCTCTTGGAAACAGCCTCCCTACTCCCGAGTAAGGGCAAGGTCTGCGTACACACACCCTCTCCAGACCCTACTGTTATGGGATTCACCTGGGTTGTTGTTGTTGTTTAATGGTGAAGAATTTATATGTGGACACCTCCATTACCCCACAGTAGGATTGGATTGTTAATGTCCCAATCAGTCCCAACAAAGCCATTGCTTTGGCTAGAGTTTGTACAGTGTGATTCCAATACCATTTCTCTGGCTTTCGAATCCATTCAAAGACAACATTAATCCACAAGAAACTCTCTTAAAATACTTTGTATATATTTATCTATATATAAGTATTCAATTACTTCCACACTCACCAAATAGCCATCTTAAACAACTTTCCCAACAAAAGAAAAAAGATACTCTCTAGCCATGGCAGAGGGCATTTCATTCTTCAGTCCATCCATTGATGAGGGGAGATGGTTCGGGCAAGGAACCAGAGCCTTAAAGTCAGACCACACCATAGAAGTTGATTTCACCCCAACAATCTTTCAAGTCCCCAAATGGTTAAAAGAAACCAAGCCCGAAGCCTACACGCCGAGCCTGCTCGGCCTGGGCCCGTACCACCATCTCCGTCCGGAACTACACAGCACACACACGCCAAAGCTTGCCCTGATAAAAAAGTATCAGGACAGAGTCAGAGAATCTAGCCCGGACTACCTTTTCTTCTCCGAACCCTTCATAAAAAAGATGGCGAGTTTGGAGGCATTGGTCCGGGCAAGTTACGACAAGTACTTGGACATCGAGGGCCTTACTGTGGTGTACAGCATCTCCGTCGACTCCTTCTACTTGCTCGACTTTCTCGGTGCCTACGGCCCGAGAACAGAATCCACTGTTCTCGAGCAGCCAGGGCGCCGAGAACTGGTCGAGGACGTATTGAAGCTAGAGAACCAAATTCCTAATTTTGCCCTTCTAGAGGTCTGGAATCAGATATCTCTCTCCAAACCTCAAGGAGATACCGATGAAGCCATGCTGCATTCCCAGCTATTTTACTACTTCTGCAAAGCCCATTCTCCGCTCAGGCTGGCGGCACTCCGGAAAGACCGCCGCCAGAAGAGCGGGCACTTGTTAGCTCATATGTATTACCTCATCGTGAACAACCGCGGGTTTGAAGAAGTAGAGATACCCTCGCAAGCAAAAAGATCAAAAATCGGAGAGACTGGGATAGAGATTTTGAAGGCTTTGAGTGAGCTGGGACTTGGAGGCGCCCTGATCAAGCCACTTCTCTTTGCTTTCACGGCTGTGGAAGTTTTGGAGAACAGCATGTTAACCAAGGAGATTATTAGTAATAATAAGGGTAAGCCACTACTAATACTCCATTCTCACATAATTAATTATTTGAACAAAAAGTGATGATAAAAGAGAGTTAAACACTTGTGATGATGACACGTAACATGCCACACGTGCATACTACTAACATGTGTCATGCCACACGTGCATATTACTGACATTTGTCATGCCACATGTAAATCACAACACACATGTCACTCCACACATGCATATTTAATTTTGTATTAAATTATTATTTTTATTATATTTTATAAACCCTTCACTTTTCGACAATAAAAAACCCTTGTTTTTATTTTTTTAATTAAATTTTAACTTTCTAAATATGCATGACTATTTTATAAAATTAAAAAAATTATATAAAATTTATTAATTAATAAAAAAAATGTTTCTTATAATTTTTAAAATTATCCAACGAGTCTCAAAAGAAACTATTTCATATCAATTTTATCAGACATGCATCTTTATTAACTTCTTAATATATTTCAATTTTTTGTCTTATTTTATTATATATTTTTTAGCAAACTAAACAAAGTGAAAGTTTAATTTGATGGATTATATGTGGCACATGACATATATGCATTCTTAATGTTGTCAATACTTAATTGATTTATTTGACATTTTTATTTTAATTTTTATTAATTATAAAAAATTTCATTATTATTTTATTTGATGACAATTACATTTGTATAAAAATTTTAGGTCACGTGTGCATTACACCTCGGCGTGTGTCATGCCACATGTATATATTTATTATTATTATTAAATTTCATGAAAAAACTTCACGTACATTAAATAACTTTTATTTTTATTATAGTTTTATAAACCCTTCACTTTCTTGCACTAAATAACCATTATCATTGAGCACAAATAACATTTATTGTTATTAAATTTTCAAAGCAGTATTATAACATTTTTATCACATATACATATTTATTAAATACAAAATTATTTCAAATTTTTTATCCTATTACATACTATGAAGTATATTTTAGTACATGGTGTATATTTATTACCGACGTGTGCACACCATGCCACATGTAATACCACAAGTGATGTCATAGATGCATATTTATTTTTATTAGGTTTTTATAAACTTCATATATCATATTAAAGAATTAAAATAAATAATATTATATTTTTAATGTCAAATATTAGAATACATGCGAGCCCGTGTGAAACCTGAAAAAGAACTAACATTATATATATATATATATATATATATATATATATATATATATATATATATATATATATATATATATAACAATCCACCATTTATTTTATATTGTTATTTTACCAAATAACTATATATTTACTAACCATATACTGTATTTTATTTCAAAATGTTTTATCTGTAACATTATTTAATTTACTATATATCATTTCAAACAATTGAATTAAATTAATTTGTTTTTCTTGAAGTATAACACACGGCATATAGGCCATATACCGCATATGTATTTTTCAATGATTTATCATTACCTTAATTTATTTTATTTTTTCATTAGTTAAATCAATTTTCATAATAAGTATATCATTTAATAACAATTTGATATTTTTGGTCAAAATGTTCTATACTTTGACCACAAAGTGTGTAAATTTATAAAAATTGTGTCCATTTAAAATATTGTTTTCATATATCAAAAAAATCTAACTATGATAATCTTAATTAATAGACACATGAACACATCCTTAGCCCGTGCGAAGCACGGGGTAGAAAACTAGTACTATGCTATTTTAGGAAATTATTAATGAAAGTATGTAAACTTTTTAAAAATTAAAAACCACAACTACCCTCACTTTATTTATTACGTCTCACCAAATATTCCACACACTTTCATTAAGGATAATTTGGTAAACTATTACTTTTTTCAACTCTTCTTAAAAACCCGTGAAAAGTCTACTTAGGAAGTCCTTTCCCGAACAGAGGGAGTAGTATGTTATAAACTTATAATGTCCATGTTTTGGGTCTACATTATATTCAAGATTTTATTTTTACCCTTTAACAAATCTATAGTGTTATTAGCAACTAAAAGAAAATAATTTCTTAACAATAAAATAAGCATTGTACAATTATTAAATGTGCATACATCAACTTTATGATGTGCATGCTTTGAGTCTATGTGAAGGAATAAAAAATATAAAATGAACAATGCATATTTCAGGCGTATAATATAAGAACTCGTACAAATACATAGTCACTAGTCCTTATTTTTCCTCTCTTACTCTCATCCAAATAGAGCCTAAAGAGCAAGAAGCAAAAAGACCAAAGATTCATGAGATTCCTGCAGCGTCGGAGCTGTCCAAGAAACACAAAATGGGTTTCATGTTGCTGGAGAAACAAGGGATTAAGGATATCAAGCTCGAATCATTGGAGTCCATACCCATGCTTCATCTCCCGGAGATCACTCTTGAACAAGACTCAGAAGTCGTGTTGAGAAACTTGATTGCATATGAAGCTGCCATTGCCGCCACCACCACCCCAGAGTCCACCATAGAACTTGCCGAGTACATTGATTTGATGGGTGACCTATTGCAGACCCCACAAGACGTGGCACTTCTGCGAGAAAAGGGAATTGTGAAAGGAAGCTTGAACGACGAACAGGTCGTTGGGATCTTTGCTGAGATCAGGAAACCCCAGACTCTGGGGAAGTTGAAGGAGGAGTGTGCAAGCCAGAAGGTGGGGAGACTATTGAAGGAGTTAGAGAAGAAGAACGAGACGAAGTGGACGAAACTACATAGATCTTTAAAGAAGAGAGTCAAGGAGGGGGTTGAGGTTGTGAGGAAGCCTTGTGTCATGGCTCTCAAGTATGTGCTGTATATACTTTTGGTGGTGTTGGTGGTGCTGCAGCTAATGCAGGCTTATTGCCAAGTCAACGGATGCAACAAAGGGGGATCTAAATCCAACTAACCACTCCAAAGTCCAAACGTTTGAGTTAATTTTTTTATTCATTTTATGACAAAGCTTGACATTTATGTATTTTCCGACCCTACTTTTTGTGATGTTTTACTAGGTGTGTTGTTGTTGCTGCATTAAGAATTTATGATGATTTTATTGGTATATGATTAAAATAATGAAAAATGCATGCAAATACTTCTAGAAATTTGAGATTTTGCAAGAATATCTCAAGATTACAAAATTATCTTTAAGTTCTCAGGAACTCAATATTTTTACAATAATACAATAATATTGCATATTGATCATAGCTACACCTTTCACTCTCCTACCTTACTCTCCCTCCCCTCCCATCCCCTCAAACCAAGCACACGCCAAGTGCCTAGTGAAAGCATGGGTGCCATGGCACCTATACCAAGGACATTTACGATAATGAATTTTGTTGGAACTAACAACTAACAACATTACTTAAGCTATGCCTTCTTGATCGAAGTCAGATTAAGAGTGTTTGTTGTCTTAAGAAGTAAAATAGAACACTAAAATCATAGGAACTAATACTATGATAATAGTAATGCACTTGCTCAAGATAAAATGTTATGATGACCTACCACAATCTACTAAGCACTATGCAGTAAGAGTGACCTCAGAGTGTTGCCTTCAGAAGGTCCTTTGTTGCACCCATAAACCTGGCAATAGGCTTGCATCATCTGCAGCACTAGCAGAATGACCATAAACACATACAGCAGATACTTCAGACCAATTCCTAAAGGTTTCCTCATGAACTCCATACCATTCTTGGCCTTCTTCTCCACAAACTTGAAGCCCCTTTTCCACACATCCTTTTTTCCCCTCTCCCATTTCTCCACCATCTCCTTCAATTCCTTCTCTGCCTTCTGGCTTGCAGACTCCTCAATCGATTTTCCCACAGAGTTACGAATTGCATTGAAGATCTCAACAACCTGTTTGTCGTCCTGGTTTCCCTTTACGATTCCTCTATCGCGCAGAATCACCATGTCTTCTGCCTTCTGCAATAATTCACCCATCAGATGTACATACTCAGCAAGCTCTAAGGTAGAGTCTTGAGTGGAAATTGCAGATTCATATGCCACCAAGTTTCTCAACACAACTTCTGATTCGTGTTCGAAAGTGATTTCCGGGAGATAAAGCACGGGTTTACCATCTTCGAAGTCGAGCTTGATGTCCTTTATACCTTCCCTTTCCAGCAACCTGAACTCCACACTGTGTTTCTTGGACAACACGGACGCGGAAGGAATCTGATGAAGAATCTTTTGTGTTCTTGAACCTGTAGTCTTATTATCATTACTAATTAATTCATCAGCTAACTTAGTGTTCTCCCAAGCTTGTAAAGACTTGAAAGCAAATAGGAGTGGCTTAATCCAAATGGAAGCTCCTCCTCCGAGTCCAACTTCACTTAAAGCTGTTAAAGCCTCCGTGCCCACCTCTGTGATTCTTGATCTTCTCATCCGCAAATCAAGATCAGATTTTTCTTCATACCCACGATTGTTCAGGACCAGATGGTACATATGAGCCAATAGGTGGCTGCTCTGGTGGCGGCGGTCTCTCCAGAGCTCAGAAGGTTTAAGGGGAGAGTGGGCTTTACAGCAGTAGTAAAAGAGCTGGGAATGCAACATGGTTTCTTGGGTACCTCTTTCCGGGGAGAACAGATCTATCTCCTTCCCCATCTCTGCAACCGCAATTGCCGGAATCTGGTTCTCCAGCATCATGACATCCCCCGCCAGTTCCCGGCGACCGGACTCCAGATTCGCGGCGTCGGTTTTCTGATCATAGGCGCCTAGAAAATGGAGTAGATAAAAGGAATCGACGGAGAGGATGTGATCTAGGGTTGAGGATTGGAGATCCAAGTACTGGTCGTAGTTGGCCCGGACCACGGGGTCCAAATCCTTCATCTTTTTCAGGAAGTCATCGGAGAAGAAACTCTTGGTGGAGGAGTTTTTCGTCAGAAATTTATTGACTTCGGCAAGCTTTTGCCTGTCGGCGGCATGGAGGTCTGGCCGGAGGTGATGGTACGGGCCCAGGCCAAGAAGGCGTGGAGTGTAGGCTTCGGGCTTGGATTCTTTCAAGGATTTGGGGACTTGAAAGATTGTGGGGGTGAAATCGTCAATTTGTAGAATGAGCTCTGAGTCTAGGGCTCTTCTACTTTGGTTCACCCATCTCTGCTCATCAATGGAGGGACTGAAGACTGAAATGACGGCTGCCATTGTTGAGTAGTGCTCTTTCTTCCCCTTTCTCCTCGAATCATCATCTCCCAGCATTTATATACTCAGTCCATCTAACAATTAAAATACCACAACTACCCCACTTACTTTATTTATTACACCTCACTCACCTCATTTAATACACTCCATCTATTTTTCATTAAAGGTATTATGATAAACTCCGTCCATCTAACAATTAAAATACCACAACTACCCCACTTACTTTATTTATTACACCTCACTCACCTCATTTAATACACTCCATCTATTTTTCATTAAGGGTATTATGATAAACTTTCACCTTTTTTAACTCTCCTTAAAAACCACAAAAGTCAAAATTAGAACATCTTAGGGATACGAAGTAGCTTTTACTGTCATGAAATAGGACTCTAACCCATAAGCCATAAAATAAAAGCCATTTTATTTCTACTCCACCACCTTCTATATTTGAAAGGTACTATGATATCTTCTATTTTTTTATTTCTCTTTGCACATCTGATCCTTGCCTCCTTTCCTCTCGTCTTCAACCTTGGTTCTTGCGGATCCATAGACCATGGATCTCATTCTTTGGTTTTCTTTCAATTATTGACTATTTAATACTCTATTTCTCTTCCTGTCATCTATCCAATCTTTCTATCCAATCCTTCTTTCCAACTCCAATACATTGAATTTGAGTTTAAAAAAAATTTGAGATTCTGATTTTAGTCCACAAAGTGTCATCGATATTTTTATTCATCAGAATCAGTTCCAAAAGAAAAAGAAAAATCGATCTCCGAAAATCAGTGGTTTTTCTTATGAACAATTATGTTCTTGAATAGATATGTTTTACTTTTTGATCAATCTGTAGATCTATCTCTAAAAAATGATTTTGTTTTTCCAAAGGATATTGCTAATTTTCAATTAATGAGGTAGTTTAAAAATAATAATTTATTATATAAAATAAAATATAGAAGATATGGTTGGAGTGAATGTAAAAAAATGTATTGCTAAAGCACTCTTGGAATGCTAAAAAGGCAAATAGAAGATAAAAAATAGCTCTCCCCTTGGAGATAACTTTTACCCAAATTATCTAAGTTTAATCTAACTTTAATGTGTGTTTAAAAAATAATTACATTTTTTATTATGATGCATAATAATTTGAATTTTATTAAAATTTAAACGTTTTGTATCGCCGTTAAGTTGCCAACAGCTTGTTAATGAAACCTGTTTTGCGCAACAAAATAAAAATTGAAACTATTTTTTTACGTATTCATGTTTTTATTTTTAAAAAAATTTCCCTTAAATTTTAAAAAGAATTTTTACCTCCATTTCTTACAAAGAGAAGTATATATCAAGGAGTTCTTATTTTGATTTTATTTAGGTAGTGAAAGAGTTAATGCAACATCATTTCTCGGGTTGATCTTAAAACTTATTGCAAAGTCATTATTGTTGGAACAAATATCTTGAGTTGGGAATACAAAATCTCATAAGGATGATTTAACTATAAAAAATTTTTACAAAGACCAAAAATAAAAATTACCTATTTTACAAGGATTAAAAAACACAATCATCACAAGCAAGGTTCCGTTGACAATGATATCCAATTTCAACGGATGATGTTCCCCCATTTCGAACATTTCTAGTACTTCAAATGAAAAAATTGATTATTCTTACCTTCTTTAACCCACCCCTAAAGGCCTAAACCCCCCATCGCACCCCACCCCAGTCACACCCCCACACTTCCACCCTAGACCCTCCTTTTACCCCTCCAAATGTGTTGCTATGATGCATCCCCGCACCCCACCGGAGGTGCTCAAAATAAGCGCGAGTATCATCCATTGACTCTGAATACTAATGTCAAGAGAACCTTTCCGTTAACACAATTATTACTAATGCAATAATATACTCCGGTAAGATATATGTGATGACCATTGTGTAGCACAATATACAGTTACATTAATACTCCATTAAAACCAAAATAGCCAAAGGTTTGGAGTTGACTAGTTGGACTTAGAACCCCCTTTGTTGCAGCCATAGACTTGGCAATAAGCCTGCATTAGCTCCAAGAGATACTTGAGAGCCATTGCAGAAGGCTTTCCTCATAACATCAACCCCATTCTTAACTCTCTTCTCTAAAGACCTATGGAGTTTCGTCCACGTCATCTCGTTCTTCTTCTCCCACTCTTCCGTCGTCTCCCTCTCGCTTGCATGAACCTCACGCTTCTCCCCGGTCTGGGGTTTCCCAATCCTAGCCAGGATCTGGATGACCGGTTCATCGTCCAAGCTTCCCTTTCCCCGCAGCGCCACGTCTTTCAGTGCCTGCAACATGTCACCCATGAGAGCAACGTACTCGGCAAGCATTGTTATTGACTCTAGGGTGGCCATTGCAGCGCCATACGCCACCAAGTTTCTCAACACAAGGTTCTCTAGCATCAAAACATCCTTGGCTAGTTCTTGGAGTCTGGAGTCTAGAGTATGATCCTTTCATCGAACCATGTTCCGTTATTATATTGATTTTATAGGTTTTGATAATTAACAAACACCAGACAAAATAATGAACAAGAAATGGAAACTGCAAGAACAAATTTGAGTAACAATTGGGAATTTGGGAAGGCATTTGAATTAGAATTTCTCACATTTATCACCTAAATGCAGAGATAATCAGCAATTTCGAATATGATTGATCTGTGTAAACTTTGAAAAAAGTTGCCACAAATTGGTAAGAAAGTACTTGATTATAGCCATACAGCAATTCCATAGTGTTCATCCTTCTTCACACATTACAAAGACCATTGCCGGAAACCGATCGCCGGCGTCGGGAACTATTCCTTAGGGTCTTTGCCGCGGAGCCGGTAGACAATCCGTCCTTTGCTCGAATCGTAACGGCTGACTTCGATTCTGACTCGGTCTCCAGGCAACAACCGGATGAAATTCTTCCGGATTTTGCCGGAAATGTAGCCGAGAACCACGTCGTCGTTATCCAATCGGACTCGGAACATGCCGTTGGAGAGCGAATCCGTCACCGATCCCTCGTGAGTCAACTTCTGCTCCGCCGCCGCCTGAGGCCGGACACTGATTCCGTTCTCCTGCCTCCTCGGCGAATCGCGTTGAGGATTCGCCAATCTCCCCTTGGCTCTAGCTATGATAAGATTCTCCCAGTCGTTTCGGCGGAAGCTGACCCGATTCGTAGTGGTCTTCCACGGCGGCGGAGGCAGAGAAAGTGCGTTCGTCGCGGTGGCGGAGGGGGCTGCCTGGCACCAAGTAAGAGAGGCCATCGCTGCTCGGCTTGGCGGATAAGGCGGGTATGGTGGAGATGGTGAGTTCAACCCACGCGCAACAAGGAAGGTCTGGGCTTCTAAAGTTCTCTATTTCTGGACTTGGGCTTGTTAGACTTATCTTTTTGTGGGGAGAGCCTTAAAATCTCAATACCCAATAAGGTGGCATATATATACAAGAAAGCCTAAGAGCATAAACAATGACAAATCTAGAATGGAATGCTACGGGATGATGTGGCATCTTTCAACCAATCAAAATTTACCGTGGAGTTCCATTGCTTACAATGGCAAGGCATAGTTGGAGTGGCGTGGCTGTGGTGTGGGCATAGAGCGGACGGAGAAGGTGGAGAATTCAGATGACAATTGAAAATCGATTTTCACAACAAAATGACAAACGATCTATGATTTCGCACAAGGAGAGTTGTCGGTGACGATTTTGGACAAGGGGAGACGTCGCTGGCAATTTCGAGCATGAAGAGAAGGAGAGATCAACAGCACAATTGGGCAGACAACTGGAGTTGGGTGGCAATTGGGGTCGTGTGGCCGGCGATGTTGGGGTGACGATTGGGTGGCGATTAGTAAACTTCCACCCCCCCCCCTCTGATTCCAATTCCAATTTTCTCATTCCAATTCATTATTGACACTATCAATTCCAAATTCACATATTTTTGTGCTACCAAACAACAAAATTAGAATTGTTGTTTCCAATTCCATATTTTAAATTTCGTGTACCAAAGAGAGCCTTACATTATTAAATACACTTTGAATTACTCTTTATTTATTAAAGAGTGCAATCAAGAAATTATAAGTCTACATAGAAAAACAATTGCACAATGGCTTGTTCATATCGTTGTCCCGACGTTTTTGTGAAGTGAACATGATGTATCGGAATCATGCAATCACTTGCAAGGTAAAACAACACAAATACTCTCATCAATCTACTTTATATTGTGTGTGGGTACACTAAGATAAAACATAGTGTTCTTGAAGTCATCTAAGAGAGGGTTGTACCCGTCTTTGGTTCTCGTCTTTGTGAGAAGACCAAATTCTTCCATGAAAGCCGATGTGTCGAGCTGCATCCAAACATAGGAATAAAAATTCGGTCTTTTTCTTCCCTCGCTTGAGTGATTATTTATAAATGGAAAATATGGTAAACCAGGAGGTCGAAAATTCAGGTTGGAGGGGCCAGTAATTTAATTTACCATAAGGGTGCGTCTTTTCTTCCCACGCTTGGCTGATTTCTCTTGTTGCTGCTTCATCGTCCATCCAGAGCAAAAGTGGTCCATCCGTTCCAAAAGCCAAAAATCCGTTGGAAAGAATATATCGGCATCCCCCTGCAAAAAGAAACTTTATATAAGGAATAGTGTTAGGTAATCACCATTACAGCCCAAGAAAAAACTAGTCATTCTGATAAGCAGAATTAACAGATTATGGCTCCCAAACAGAGCCCTAATCTTTCAAGTATATAGGGAGATTCACATTCAAATTTCTCATATCTGTCACATTATATCTTTTAATGCCAATAAAAAGTAATGAATGCCAATTATTTTGCAAGTATGTGAAGTACAATAACAACAATATAAAGTCATAAATACAACCAGACCTTTGCTTCCAAATAATTATTGTAATCTGAACTGCTTCCATCTCTCTGCAGAAACAGAGAAACAAATTTAGAAAAAAGCTATAAAAACACCTATTGTCTAGGTTGATAGAGTTGAACTTCAATTCAATGAATATTTGGTTCAAGAAATTAGGATGGGAAGATAAAGAAAAAGGTTTCTCTCCTTTTCCTCACCAAAATTGAAGGGATTTTGTTCTCTCTTCTTAGTTCATTTTTCTTCTCATTTCCTTTTCCTCACTGACCAAAGAAGAAAATTTGTTTTCCATGACATTTTCTTTTCCCTTTCAAATTCCTTGAACCAAACATAGTGTAAGAGACATGTTTTTGAATTGTGGAAAAACTATATGCTCTAATGTGAAAAACCTGAGCATACCTTTGTTGAAACCAGTGGAGCTCGATCACCTGGGATTCTAACATCAGGAAGGTAATTGAAATCAGAAGCAATTAAAGACATCTTTGGTAAAGCTCCATGCAAAACTTCTAGAAGTTTCTGAATATGTGAGGAAACAAGACAAGTAAAAATAATACTCCATAATAATGATAACATTTACAGGATTGACATCTGAAATATATGTACCAAACAACCAGTGGGAAGCCAGCATCTTCTGGGCCTAGGAAACACTTTTGCCCAAGCACTCTTTGCCATTAAACTTAGTTTGCCTCCATTATCCAAACCACTGCCAGTCATATCTAGGATTTCCATGCATTTAGTGATCAATGGATCTTGAATGGGCCTATACAACTCGGACAGTTCCGACCTATTAAACGGGTATAGAAATTGAATCAAAATTAATGCAATATAACCTCACACTATAGAGAAGAACGTTTTACATGTCCATTTTTTGCATCATCGTGATTGTTGCATTAGTTGTCAAGGAATATAAAAAAATGCATACCAACCTTTGAGGTTGCCTCTCAACCCATACTTCCATCCATGGGGATGTTTGACTTTCAGAATAGATAAGATCATGTGGAAGATTGTCAAGGACCTAAGAGATCACTGTGTTGTTGTCAAAAACTTCTAACTAGTTTTGACAAGTGAAAACATAAATGAGGTACACAAATAGATTCTTGAGGAACCAAATATGCTAAATGTGGACACATCAATAATTGAGGGACTAAATACGATATACGTCCCACTAATTGACAGACAAAATGTGTTATTTTCCCAGTGACCCAGAGAAGTAAAAGTAACACATATATACCTCCAACATGATAACCCAACAAGGTTCTTTTTTCACTTTGCCTGATTCAACGGAAAAAAAACTGCTTTCAGTTGCACAATGGTGAGCTAGAAGACTTCAAAGTTTGTAGAGCTATACAATATTCTAAGAGTTGAAAACATAATAATTATGGCAATGATAAGTGTGTGCACGCACTTTACCAATAACACCAGAAATAGATAAGCAAAAGCTTGGGAAGATAAGAAAAATTTACCCCACCCACTCCGGACAGCAGCATCACGACACTCTACCCTAAACTTGGATGCATGGCTGCTAACTCCTCCAACAGTTTGAATCTGCTTTGCAGCAAGAGCTGTACTAATTTCAACCGAACTGCACCAAATGAAATATTTTGAGAGACAAACACACGCACGCAGACCATCCTTTTCTCCTTAATAATAACTACCAATCAATAGACATGAACAATCATGATAACATGTTTGAGGATAATTGTGCTTATATTGACAAGTAGATGATCACCTACGTGTACTTCATAGCCTCATAAACTCTTGTAGGTGCGTTCAACTTCATGTAATCCAAAATTCCCTTTGCACATGTGCCGGATCCTCCGCCTATTTCATATATCTATGATCAAAGAGGAGGGGATTGAGAATAAGTAAACAACAGATAGAACTAGAAAATGTGGGCTTTTAATCATAGAATGAACAAAAGTTGCCTGGTAACATCATTTTGTTTATTGGGAACTAAAATATTCAGACAAGAAAACAGTTATCGATAGGGATAAGGCATCATACACAACCAATGGACTTACTTTTAGTGGAACAGATAGGTCAGCTGTTCGCAAGATAGCTTCTGCAATTCCATGACCATACCATGGCTATAAAAAAATAAGGATCACATAAGACTGCCTGAAAATGTGAGGGGCAAAAAGGATGAACTCTATGTTTTTCTTCAATTCGACTTTAATGTTAGGTGTAAATTTCAGACTGAAAGTAAATAAAGATTATGTGGAAATGCAGTGACTTCCTTTTTTCTTTTTTCTTTATTTCATAACTAGAATAAACTTGTCAGTCCAAACTCCATGAAACTATTTAGGTGCTTAGTTTACCTTAAAAAGCTCCACTGGTGTAAACCATGAAATCCCACTTTGCTTGTAAATTCTATCCAAATGTTTCATATAATCTTTCCTTCCTGAAATGTTCCCCAGAATTAAGTTTGCAGCAATCAAATTACACTCCCTCTTTTTCATAATAAGCTAAAAAGGCGTCTACCTTCGAGTTGATTGAATTTAATGCTTCTATCAAGAACCCCAACGGATTCGGACCTTTGAGAGAAATACCCATGCTCCAGATCATACAAAGCCTTGTGAATGAAATCTCTAACCTTCACATCAAAATGCCCAAAAGATTTCATAATGATATTCAGAAAAAACAAAAACATGGAGATTCACTTACAGAGAATGGTGATTGAAACTACAAGAATCGGCGAGCCCCCGACAATGTGAGTGGAGAAGGAAGCTGAACGCTGGTGGTTGGATAAGATCAAAGGGTAAACTGAGGATTGAAATGTTAGACTTATCAGACGGAATTAGGGAAAATCAGAACATAAATTTCGATAGCAATAGAGGGAGAAATGGAAAGCAAGAAACGACCTTTAGGTTTTCCATTGAAGAGGAAAACAAAAATTCTGGGGGAGAAAGAGCTAAAGAACATAGCTCTTGAGCAAAGATTAGCTTTCATGAGTTCCGTAACTCCGGGGTTGGAGAAAGGGTTTAGCTCGCCTGGTCTCTGTTAGAGCACTCCAGCACGGTCTACCTCATACTTCTGTTACATTTGGTGGCATGCTTGTTCAGAAATACTTACTCCCTCCATTTGCAAAAAAAAATTCCTACTTTGACTTCGAGCCAAAATAAGAAACTGTAAAATTATAGTTGATTTCCAATTTTGTCCCTGATGTGGGTAAAAGTAAGATGTGATGGATTGTTTATTAGAGAAAAAGTATGATGTGATAGGTAGGGTATGAAAAAGTAAGGGTAAAAGTGGGTTTTTAATAGAAAGGAGAAGTGTTTTGTTGGAAGTGGAAAAAGTGAAAGAGGAAGTGTTTTTAAGAACGGAGGGAGTATTATTTAAACCTCATTTAGGCTAGGGCTGGGTTGGAAAAACCGAAAACCGCAAACCGAACCGAAATTGATCGAAACGAGCTAGTAAAAAAACCGAACCGAAAAAACCGAAACTGAATGTAAAAAAACCGAACCGAACCGTTAGTATTTGGTTCCGTTTTGGTTTTCACTTTGAAAAACAAAACCGAACCGAATAAACCGAACTTTTTTAGATACTTCA